TTCCCATAATCTATTCATATCTGTCTGTAACTTATCAATGTCACTACTATCCATTATTTTCCTGTATACTATACAATCATCAGCGAAAAGCCGTATATTTGAATCAATGTTTTTTCCAAATATCATTAACATAAGCGAGGAATAGTAACGGTAGCCTGTGCGTTGTCTTTGTCGCCTGTCTTTGTCTCGCGCTCGTAATTGTACTTCATATAATTGTACAGAGAGCAGACAGGAAGCGACCAGTCTCGGTCTCGTAACTCTGTCGCCTGCCTCGGTCGCTTGTCTCTGTCGCGTGCAGCCAAATTGTTACCTTTAGGGACCTAATACGCTCCCTTGTGGCACTCCCGACGTTACCCTGACTTCATGAGATAGTTGTCCGTCCACTCTTACTCTTTGCAAACGTCCTAAGAGAAATTCCTCAAGTCCACACCGGTTGCAGCAATTTTTGTACGGTAAACGTTTTATCAGAATCTGTTGATTGGATTAGCTGATTATTTAGTTCGCAACTGAATACCGACGCATAATAAGAGTTTAGGGAGTTCGCATTTTCTACTTGATCTGTGATGAGGTTTCCTTCAATGCCCTTGATTGCGGGAATAGTTTCTCTATTACCTTTACGTCTTTAAACATATTTGTAAATCTCTGTCCAGTTTCTACATTCGTTTTGCAAGAGGTGAACGAACTTTCAGGCCGTGTCTATAGTTCCCAAATACCGATCGAACTCCTCCTTTATAAATAGGAACCACTATAGCCTTCTTCCAGTCCCCTGGGATAGAATTGTTGTTCATCGTTACCTCCAGCAGTCTCGCAAGGTATGGAATCATCGCTTCCCCACCTAATTTTAAAATTTCCCTGGGGATGCCATCGACGGATTTATTCCTCCCGATTGCTGATAGTCATTTCCTTATGATATTGATACTAACGGTAAACGTTTTATCAGAATCTGTTGATTGGATTAGCTGATTATTTAGTTCGCAACTGAATACCGACGCATAATAAGAGTTTAGGGAGTTCGCATTTTCTACTTGATCTGTGATGAGGTTTCCTTCAATGCCCTTGATTGCGGGAATATTTTCTATATTATCTTTACGTCTTTAAACATATTTGTAAATCTCTGTCCAGTTTCTACATTCGTTTTGCAAGAGGTGAACGAACTTTCAGGCCGGACAAGGTAAACATCCAGCAATGCATCCCCTCGGGTTGGACTATCTACCTGCGTGTACCAATTTTCCATACCAGTCTATTTATAAATGCCTGATTTCCACGTTTCCATTCCAATCTGCATAGGGCAAGTTTAAATCACCTCCAATGACGCTACGCTTCGTAGAATTTCCTAAATAACTGGTTCGGGCTGCCAATCTTTCTATAACTCGAATGTCCTCGTTCGGTGCCCTGTAGATGTCTATTATATCCCATGTGAAATTAGGGTCCCTGCCTTTCGCTTCAACTGCTAACATCTCAAAATCCTCGTCCACCCATAGTTCCACGCCACCTCGTGCATTCCTATCTCTCCTAAAGGTTGTGTAATCGTCCCTAAATACTTCGGCATTACTAATTTCTTCTCTAATCTATGACTCCGTGTCTATTAAAACATCGGGATTATGTGTCAACTGAATTCCAAAAAAAACAAAGACTTATTGAGGATACTCCTGCAATTTACCTCCATCTGCTGTACTCCTCTCGTGGCTACTCCCTCATCACTTATCACGCCTTCTGTCTCGTTCCTTGCCTGAATTATCCTCGCTTGTCGGATTTTCCTTGATAATCTTCATCCGCGTCCTGTCAGATGCCCCCTCACTGGTAGTACTCGGCAACAGCCACTTGTTCAACTTCTGACCTCCGCCGCAGAATCCACAAACTCTGGAATACAGTTGGCTCAGTCTTCTCGATCCTCCTTGGTATATACGTAATCCGTCCCTACCGAAGTCCCTATCATCAATCCAACTGTTCGGGTCTACAAAAGTAACTCCAGTGGTCTTTGCTATCCAGTCGTATCTGTCGTTTAATGCTCCGATACGACGCCATGACACGTCTCTACGCCTAAGCACATCACTCAGAACTAATTTCGATTTGGTAGATTTAATTCCTGCCTTCTGCACAAGAGCGTACACATCGCCCATCACATATTCTAGATTTGCAGCTCTTCTTAAATCATTTGTACCTACATGAATTACGACCGTGTCTGGGCTCCCTAGATCCCTGTTCTCCATAACTCTTTGTAGCTGTTCAGTTCTGATTCCTGGAAAGCACTCCACCTTGATATTTCTATGTTCAGTCCCCACGTCTCGTATTATAGAGTCACCCAACACTAAGAATTCTGCACTTCCCTGAAGTTTCTGAGCCATATCCCGCCTGCTAATTTCATCTCCCGCTGTCCACCATTTGAACCTTTGCGTTTCCAAAACTATTGTGAAACCACCGTCCACACGTGTCGCATTGTGTTCCAGATCTCAGGTTTCTGTCGCACAAACTACACAAAACTTGCAAAATGTTCCCAGTCTCCACACCAGGTCCAGGATTATGCTCCACACCGCTGATTATCAACAGCACAGCTAAAGCCGCTGCACACAGAATCGTATTTTCTAAGTAACTTTCACCATGTACAATCTCGTCCTTGTACAGTACACCATGAAGTCCTCAATGCACAGGTAAACACGCGGGCTCGGTAGTCCTCCAGGTAGCAACTCATTATTAACAGATCTTTCCCAAACATGTCTGCTCACAACAGCAACCCAATTGGAACTGATGGTCCCTGAAACATCAGTGAATTTTTACTGTTTGACATGGCTGGTACCCACGTGGGTTAAAAACTGTAAACAGCTGTCATTAATAATCTGAACCAGTTCTACCACTTACTTTTTACTGCTATGCTTCCATGGTACTCCATCCAACCAATCGTGGCACTCTTTCAAAATGCCCCATTTTATGATTAAAGGCAATAAACTTCAAAGCATGACAAACCAGTGATATGTATGTCAACAAAAGATTGTAAGGACAGGCAACTCTAGGCTTACGAACGAGTTCCGTTCCATGACGTTGTTCTTTATGTGTGTCTTGCATTCCTGAGATTTTACGTTACGTATCGTATACGTTAGCAGCCATTTCAAAGCATCAAAATCATGTACTAAACATAGAATTGTCTACACAATCAGTTTTGTTATAATGTATGTATGCGTTGTGGTTTATCGTACACGATACGTAACGTAAGATAAAATAACAAAAAGAATACTGGCTAGATTGGTTTTATTAACCAAGAACACTTCAGTATAATTATCATATAATAATTTTCTGATAATTATAGTAATAAATACATTTTTTAAAAGTTTGTTTATTTAAAACTTACAAATAAAAGTGAACTACATCGCCATATATTAACGAGAAAATGAACTAATGCAGTTAAGTAACTTCAGCGACACGTATTGGCGAAGGTATGAACTCATGTAAAGATAAGTGAATTGCCGCGTTATCTGTTGGCAATGTATCAACTAATCAGCCCGCGAAAATTTTCTGACCCGTTTACCTCCTTGGGTATCCTATAACCCCGATATCAGACACCGAAAACTCAAAGCTATTCGATCTTCTAATGCCCTCTATTTGCAAAGACATGAACTAATGTAAAGATAAGTGAATTGCCGCGCCATCTGTTGGCAACGTATCAACTAATCGGCCCGCGAAAATTTTCTGACCCGTTTACCTCCTTGGGTATCCTATAACCCGGATAG